CAGGTTCACATTTTGTTCCCCGCCGCCCGGCCCTACAGGAAGGGCGGTACCGGGGAGTGGGTCGGATGCTGCCTGTCCCTCCCACAGCCGGGAGCTGGGTTGGATGCTGCGCACTCACCCGGGGCTGGTGCATCCCCTGGGTACCACCACGGGTGCTGCCCTCACTTCCTAATGCCCGAGGACCAGTGTCCAGCCACGGACTGGCACCGTCCCCAGCTCTCAGCCTCCTCTCCCCAGGCACCTTGCCCTTCCCGCAGGGACTCTCCCCCACACAGGTTTCTTTTAATTTGCCTTTGTAACGAGCTGGGTGTGTGTAACGAGGCAGGCAGGGTCATTTCCAAGAGGCGGCTGGTTTTAGCCTCCCCGGCCAGGCTGTGCCGGTGCCGTGGCCGAGGGGGGACATGGGGCAGTTGGGGCGCAGCCCCTGCCCTGACGCCCCCACTGCCGAGCGCCTGCCGGGGGCTGGCACGTTGGCTGCAGAGGGCAGGTAGGGGGACAATGGGGATTGTTCTCCCAACAATGCCTCTCGCCCCACGCCGCGCCGCCCTGATTAGCCTCCTCGGGCGTGCAGCCCCCTCCCCGGCAGCATTATCTCCTGCTTAAATCCCCTGGGAGTTTTCGGCGGGTCTGCTCTGCCCAGACAGCTCCTCGCTATGCACAACGGGGCCAGACCGAGGTGTGGAGAGGTGGAGGCTGGGGTGAGCTCTGCACCCCCCGAGCAGCTTTCTTCATCCACCTCCCTCTGCTCTGGCACGGGGATGGTGCAGCACCATGCACCCAGCCTGGGCCAACTCCAGCCCTGCAGCGAGGCCAGGACACGCTGCCACGTCTTCCTACGGGCTTTGCAGCATCGCCTGTGCACCTCGCCTCCCTGAAACCAGTGCTCACCCGTGGGCTGCATCCCAAGGCCCCAGCATTGATACATCAGGCGCAGAGCAGCCCGCCTCCCCGCCCTGCCGGGCACAGCCTTCCCCTGCCCAGCCCAGCCCGCACGGGGACTCCGGTGAATTAAACCAACCAAGCAAACGCTGATTTATCCTCAGCAGGACAGAAATCCAGCCCCTGCCACGTGGCTCGCCTGGCCATAACACCGCTTGCTCCTCTCCACACCACCGCCATCCCTCGAAGCTGCAGCAGGGACCAGGGCGACCGTCTTCCCCCCAAGGCTAGCCATTCATAGCCCCAAGGGCTCGGCACCTCTTTCCCCAGCAGAAACGGGAGCCAGCACTGCAATTGCCCCAATGTCACTGCCCAAGCACCCTCGGCAAGGGCTTACCTGGCATTTTGCTGGGAGGTGAGGCACTGGGCTGGTTGTGATGGGGGGAGCCGTGGGACAGCAGCAGGTTCATGCTGTGCGGGGGCTGGCCCGAGCTGTAGGCGTCCATGGCCAGCTTCTGGCGGAAAGCCTCCTCCTTCCGCCGGTTGGCAAACCAGTTGTAGACGCGGACCTCCGTCACTAGGTTGGAGCCGAGCCCGTGCGCCTTGGAAGGAGACACCCCTCGCTGCAGACACTCGGCCCTGCGTGTGGATGGGGACACATTGGAATAAGGGTGCTGCTGGGGGGGCCTCCGCCAGCACCGCCAGGCAGGGGGCCTCGGGAGGACGTACGAATTTGGGGGCATTTAAGCCCTTCCTACAAGCTCACCTGCTCTTCCCCCCTACATCCATGCCATAAAAGCCATCCCCCCTCCATCTAACATTGCTGTAACTGCAGCATCCATGCAGCATCCCTGCGGCATCCCAGCCCTGGCACGGAGCTTGCTCAGCCCCGGACATCACCCAGATAGGGAAAATGAGGCAAAAAGAGGCCAGGCTGCTCAGCAAAGCCATGCCATGAGCCAGCAGCTGGGGCTGCGAGCCGGGAGCCCGGCATCGCGTGGGGCTTTCAGAAGAAAGGCTGCAGGGCGGGCGAGGAGGCGGCGGGCGGCGCGGGGCAGCCTTTACCTGTTGCACTCCTCCACCAGAGCCTCGCGCTCCTCCTTGCTGGGGTTCTTTTGGCGGTCGTAGGCTTGGTACAAGATTTGCTGGGAGGCCGGCCCCCACTTGAACCGATTGCGGCGCATCTTCTTGCTGGGGGTTTCAGAGCAGGTGTCATCGAGCTGGGCAGCCCCCTGGTTCTGCTGATTGAACTCTGGAAAGAGAAACAGCAGCTGATCCTGACTGCTTTTGTCTGTCATATTTCCACAACCCTGGACTGTCTGGTTGAACTCTGAAAGAGAAAGGAGCAGACGTGAGCTGGCCTATAGCCGCTGCTCGGAGTCACCGTCCCGCGCGGAGGTGGCCACCCCGTGTCCCCTCCCGCAGCACCCCAAACCCACGGCCCCAGCACGCTTTGGAGCAAGCCAAGCGCTCCCTGCCACCCACCCCAGGGAAGGGGCCAGCCTTGCATGCTGGCGGAGGAGTTATTACCATCCCTCCAGGACGGGTGTTTAATGGGGAGGCATGCTCAGGGCATGCATATTCATGGATTAGGTCTCTGCCAGCGTGCACTTGTTTTGGGAGGATTTTTGCAAGCTAGGAGCCAGGCAGGATGACTGCAAAGCCCCCCGAAAGGGTGCCCCTCTCTGCTCGCCCAGAGCTCCCCTCCGGCTCCCGCTCCCGTCCCAGGGCAGTGGCACGCCAGCCCCGTGCCCGGGGCGGGCAGGCACCAGAGGTGACCTTCCCCGGCAGCCCGCCTCAGACCCGGCACTTGTCACCGCGGCAGTAAAGGGAGATTAATGGGAGGGTTTTATTATTCTCAGTTTTGCAGGGGAATTCTCCCTCTTTTTATAATGGCTTTTCCCCCTGTGACGAGGGGGGAAGCGCAGGGCAAGGCTGGAGCAGGCTCTGTTTGCTCTAACGTCTCAAGGTGTGTTTCAAAGCGATGGTATTTGGTGCTAAACCCTTTTCTGCACTTCCCATCTGCTGGATATTGCATCCTTCAGGAGGAGGGAGGCAGAGCCCTTTTAAGGGGGGTGTCAGTGCCCCAACCTGCACCTCGGCCGAAAACGGGGCTGCTTCGAGCGATATGGGACTGACCCGTGAGCAGGGGTCGGTGGGAGAGGTGCACAAAAGCAATAGTCTGTGCACTTGGTCAAAATCATCCGCATTTTAAATGGCATGGACTGCCTGAGACCATGCTACAGATAGGAGCAAGGTACAGTTTTTCGTTTTCTCTCTCTACTTTTTTTTGCAAGTAGTTGCAGAAAATGAGCAATCTCAAGAAACAGAGAGGAAAAGGGGGCAGAGGTGGGAAAGGCATCTAATTGTGTGTAATTATTAATTGCTTTCCCACCTCTAACAAATATAAATAAGCAGAAACTCAGCTGTCTGGATGGGCTTGAAGGAACTCGCAGTGTTACTGTGACCAAGAGGGGCTCTCGCCCAGTTTTCCTGTGCCTTAAATTCATTTTGCATGTAAAAATACTTTGAGGAAGATACTAGGCAGCCTGGGGCCAGGGGCAAAGCCAGGGATGATCCCCGGGCAGCCACAGCGGGCGCTGGTGGGGGCTCTGCCAGGGAAGAGGGCAGGGGGCTGCTCCCCGCTCGGCTCCGGACGTGCCGGGTACCCGCAGGCAGGACCGGGACGCAGGGACCCCCTCTCCCCCCTGCCAGCCCCGAAGGGCGAGCGCTGGCGCGGGTACTTACGCCGGAGGATCTCCCGCTGCTTGCGGACGTACCACGTGTAGAGGGCGGCTCTCTTCTGCGTCTTCATGGGGGTGCCCTTGTTGAGGTGCTGGGAGAGGTGCGACTGGTTGAGGCCGGTGACGTCCACCACCTCCCGCTGCGGGATGTTGTGCTGCTGCATGTACCCCTTGATCATCTTCGCCGCCCGCCACGGGTCCTCGCTGGAGGGGAGGGAAACGACGGGTTAATCTCTCCTGGCGGGGGAAAAGCGCCTGGTATTTGCTTCTTCCCATGATGGAAACCCATTATTATTATTATTCTGAAACCTGTTTCAGAGGGACACAAGATCCCTTGAGCGTATGTCCTTCCCCGACTGCCATCCCAGCCCCCCAAAACAGCCCCGTCCTGCCCCAGGGAGGCAGCGGCTGGCGGGACAGAGGCTCGCGGGGTGCCAGGGCCACCCTGGGGATGCCCACCAGGCTGTTCACCCAGGGAAGGAGAAGTAAAGAGGGTCCCGGTGTCCTGACGGGGCACGTCGAGGTCCCATTAATGCTGGTAAAGCACCTTCAGATCCTTCAAGGAGAAATGCAGCTCATCCATTAACTGCTGGTTTCTGTTCACTGCAATTTCTCCCTTTGATGATATGCACACACAATGGGATGCACAAACACACACAGACGCATGGATATGGGAAGTCCATATGGATATTTCTCTGAAGAAAGAGAAACCTGTAATTTGGAGGTGCCGGCGATGCTTTTCCTGCCCCTGCTCCCGGTGCGGTACCCGCACTGTGCCCCATGCCCCCGGGCTTGCTGCTGGCTGGCGGGGACCCCCGCACGGCCACCGAACACCACTCGCCACGCTTGCCGCTTCACCTTCTCCCTTCCATTCCCGCAGGGGTAATTACCTAAAAATCTCAATATTCATTTAAAAGAGACCCTATTTCCACCTCCCGCAACAGCGAAGCGTACACATGGGCCATATGCAAAAGGCTGAGACGCAGAAGGTCAAACCAGGCACACAAACCCAGGCAAGTCCCCGAATGGAAAACCAAAACCACCACCCCCAATAATTTTAAGTCATTTTTGAATATTTTTAAACACTTGAATTTGGATCCTGCAAGCTCCACATGTAAAATGACTCTTTCCTAAATCCGCATTATTTCGCTGTCCTTGGGGTAGCTGACACCAATCTAGGGAATAAACGAAATTACAGCCAAAAATCAAAATGCCGTCTGCGTTCTTTAGCTCTACCGAAAGCGCAACGCGGGGGCAGAGGAACAGGCCAAGACACCTTCGCTGTGTTCAAGACCCCTGGATTTACGCTGCGCTACAGGAGGACGCTGGACTAAAAGGAAGTGCTTTAACGCTGAAAAATCGGTGTGGAGCCCAAACCTGGTCACAGTCATGCACTCAAATAATGCGGTACTCTAACGCTGCGCTTGGAATAACCATCCGACTGCTTTCCCAATTCATTACTTATTTTGGATCCTTCAACTTGTCAAAGGGAAAAAACAAACCCCAGAAGTAGATTTCTTACTTTTTGTCCTGAATGCAGTGTGAAAACAAAGCTGGTTGGATCCAAAGCAAAAGTCCCCGACCAGGGCCGCTGACGGCGGCGGGGGCTTTGTCAGACCCCGGGAAGGAGGGCACGGAGCCTTCCTAAAGATGTCGTCCCTGTGCCCAATCCTGCATCCTCCGGGCAGGGGAACCCCGCCGTGTATATGGTGTCCTCTATATGGCGATGGTCGCACGGCACTGCAGACCTGAAGAGCTGTATACATGCACGGGCACACGGACACACTGACTCCGGTTTTCCCAACAGCCCGAACCCCGGACTGGCGTAAGCACAGTGCAAAGAGAAAAAGCCCAAAAATCCCCAAAACGCATGGCAGCGTGCGGCCGGGCCATCGGCTCAGCAGCCCCCGCAGCAAGCGTGGGTGCCGACAGCAAGCAGGGGCACTTCTCTGCCGGTCGGCATCAGGAGCCGGCGGGGACGGCCGCGGCACACGGGGTTTTGGGGCTCTCAGGTCTTCGTGCTACCCCAGGAGAAGGCGGGAGCCAACAAGAAGGATGTGAAGAAAATGTCCTTCCACCGCACCTCTCCTCCGCATGCTACTTCCCGGCCAAGCAGGGCAACG